AATTTTCTCACTGAAAAAATATTTATCCTCACCAAAAAGATTATACAGAAGCTTTATGTCGCATTACCCGGGTGTTTTTCGTTTAACCGGCACCAACATATGTATATTACCCGGGTACCCGGGCAAATCGGGTAATACCCGACTACCCGGGTAATAAAAGCCCCGGGTAATACCCGGGTAATCGGGTACCCGGGCATTACCCGAATTACCCGGGCACCCGGGTAATACCCGGGTAACCGGGTACCCGGGTATCATCAGCCCTAGTTGAACACCACCTCCTCGTGACCAAAATAATGAATTTTATTATTTAAATTTAAAAAGCACTTTTAAAAATTAGGAAATATTTTTGTATAAAATCCTATGAAATTCAGTTCATGGTCCAAACGGATTAGTCGTGTGTGTGTGGTCCAATGACATCTCAATGTTAACGTAACCATTTTTTCTCCATATGTTTGGACCATTTTGGTTACTAGTGTTGGTTACAAGGAAGTGTGATCCTGTACTAGTATGCAATCTAGTTCCACTTCCTGCAGGCTAAGTATGCACATATACACATATCCATATGTATGTGTGCAAATAAATGCACTTTTGTATTTACATAGCTATTTTGCTTTGATATTAATTTTCATATCAACATTTCGAATTTTACTTGCTACGGGTATATTCCTCATCTTTACACATGCTCACAGTTAAATGTCCTGTTGTCGTGCGCACGGAAACAGGAATAGACTGCATGAATTTCTTTCTTTTGTATGTATGTATGTGGGGAATATACCCATGTGTCCACCTATGTAAACAACAGAAAGCAATTGTATTCACAACATAGAAAGTGAAAGGTAAAGTTATTTGGAATTGCATATGGGCAAATCCAAGAAATAGTCAACCAAATGTTATTAAAATTTTCACATTTTTGTTTCAAGAATGGTTTAGTACATATAAATACTGCAAATTAATTTCATATTCCTTTTCACAGGTATTTAAGAAATATGATCCGCATTTCTTACTTATTCCTTTCTGTGGACAGTTTTTCAGTGCCAGTTTGAACTTAGACCACGTAAACTGTGCGCTGAAAAACTGCCTTATGTATTTATGTATATCTATCATTCTTGGATGGTCATCATAAATGTCCAGAACTGCGATATTTCCATATACGCGCGCACACAAGTCTCAAGCGCAAATCTTTTCTTCAGCCCCACGTAGTCGAATGACTTTTGTTCTTAGATTTTCTATAAATACACCTAATCGTTATTTTAGTTGTTCGTATGTATGTAAGCGAAGCTGTAAATGTGGCGACACTACTACTGAAGTCCTTTAACTAATTGAGTCATGCATGCATCTTCGTTGAAGTTCAAAAATACATTTTTTATATGTAAGTATATGTACATATGTATGCATGTATGTACACACATACAATTTATTTTGCTATTTTTAAGTCCCCGCAGATGCATTCGATTTTAGAAAAATAGAGACAAATGTTTTTTAGTTGGATGTTATTGCACTCAGCCTTGATTGTTATTTCTTATTGCTGGTATTAGGATGAGTTTTATTTTTAGCTACATATTTTAGATTATGACAGACTCATTAGGACTATTTGTAATAACTATTACATACATATATGTAATTTGTATTCTTGTACATTCCTGTATACTTTTTAGCTTATTTGAATGGTTGTATAAAATATTATATAATTGAGTTCCAACTATATAAATGCCATTGACAACATAATAAAACATTGATGTATATAAATTGGTACTAGGTTTAATTATAATACATTTATAGTATACTTTATTTGTATAGCTTATGGGTTGATACCCTGAAAATTCGCCTACATGCTAAAATAAAATGAGAATTGATAACAGACTAATATAAACAGTAAAACATTGCATAAAAATTTAATATACTTTTTGTATAGTAATAATTAAATTAGTAGAGTATTCCATTTTGCCACTTACATCGATGTTACGAGTTTTTTCGTTGGCACAACCAATTTACTTTTAGTTAAATTTTTTTTGTGCCATTTAAATATTTTACTTTATTAGCGCCTTTTCTGTCCAACGGCTCCATCGCCAATGAAAAAATGTATGTATGTATATTCAAAATAAATTATGTACCTAAAGGAAAATATGTACTAATGCGCATTGCGTAAAAGTGTAATGTTGCATGGTATTGATGAGCCTATTGTTTACCCAAAAATTTTACTATTTTCTACGGAATAACATTATTTTTTAATAATTTTTAAAATACTGGTTATCTGACTAACGTTGTAGCACCGTCAACCATCCGCAGAGTGCTGAATTTTATTTCCATGCTACCTAATCTTCGGAAGTTGGTTTAGAGGTGTTCGAATTATCGTCGCCTTTATCATCTATTTCACTGCCAGCCTTACTTTTTGAACATTTTGGAGGTGTGTTACGCGAGCTTAGCATATACGCACGCATACGAGCTTTATGTTCCAGCTCATTTTGTCGCATACGTGCACCATGTTCTTCGCGCATTTGACACAATTTTAACTCTTCATTCTTACGATAGTAACCGAGTTTAAGCTCTTGATGCATTGTCTCGAAATTTAATCTTTGTTCATGCTCGATTCGTGCGTGCTCAATCTCTGCTAAATGAGAACGCTTTATTAAATCGAAAATTTGCTTTTTATATTTTTCATCGGTAGGTAGTATCTTATAGATTATGTCATCAGCATTCAACAGCAATTTGGACGTTTGCGCATCACTTTCGCTGGTTCCCGGCACTGCCATTTCGTCTGGTGCGGTCTAACGGAATGTAAAAGATTTAAGGTAAATTAAATGTAATGTATTCATTTTATGTATTACCACTTACGCTTGAGTTTTTTTGCTTTTTCGGTTTCCCGGTTCCATCAGCACTATCGCCTTCGGCACTTTGAATCTTTTTCTTTTGCATTGGCTTTTTTCTTTGACGTATGGGTGAGCTTTGCTGCAGCTTCGACGCATTTTCTGGCTGTGGCTCAGCCGATTGTGGTGGGGACGGTAACGCTATAGCCGATGCTTGTAACGTATCTTCACTGGTATTTGTCAATGGTGGCAGAGATGCAAGTGGCGTATCCTCGTCATCGATACTTAATAGCTCTTTTTTGATAACTATGCCATTGCTGCGCGCATGTGTGCGTACATTGTTTGTATCTTTTTGCATTTCCTCCATAAACTCTATCATAGACAAACCCTCCAATGTTCCTGCATTGGGATTCTTTTGCTGGTATTCGCGTTTTGCAGTATTTTTCATACTCCGCCATTGCACTTGGATTTGTTCAAGTGAACGATGCCGAAAGTTGAGTACGTTGAATCTGAAAATTTTCGGATTTATTTAATTACATACAAGGAAAATCATTTGTTTGTAAAAATTACTGTTTGGTGATTTGCATCCAAGCTAGACGTTTTGCTTTGATGTTTTTTGCATCCACATTACGGTTTTCGACATATTCAACTTTTGGCTTTATAACTTCCACCAATAGGCCCTGCAATAAAAAAGGCAGTTTTTTAATATGTGAACATTTTTATTATTCACGTTGCATGCATTTTTTTCACTGAGTCTATATACATATACTCACCCGTTCCGCCTCCTCCCAGTTGGTAGATCGCTTTTTTCTTGTGCCTTTTTTCTTACTGTTACCGCCAACATCTTTATCGCCACCCCCACCATCATTTTCTTGTTCTTTTTGCTCCTGGGATGCTTTTGAAGACTGTGGGTGTGTTTCTTCTTCCACCCCCTCTGCGTTAGTTGGAATTTCTTTTTCAGCCCCAGGCGGTACCTTCACAGCCAGCGCCACCGAATTCCCATTCATTGTTTCTAGCTTCATTTTGCCACGACTTCGCTTCTTTCGCACTACTTCCAGGTTTCCTTCAATCTTACTTAATTTTTGGGCACAATTTTATAATTTTCTCTGAAGATTTTCTTGTTAGATGTTTTGTTTATACTCCTATTTTACGAAAGTTGAAATTTGTAAATTGTCCAATTGGAAATAAGTAATGCCAAGAACCGAGTTTGGCAGCACTTCGATGCAGGGTTACATTAAAAAAATTTCTTTTCTTGGCATTGGGGACCGACCCCAAGGCATTCGATCACAGAAAAACAACTCATCATTAGTATAATTATTAACTTTTTATTATTGCAATTACTAATTCACGTTTGTTCGTGAACAAGTTCAGAATACGTACATTTCCCAAAAAAAGTAGTGTGCTTTATAGGGGAATTTACCCAACCGACGTTAGCACACAATAATAATTAATTTTTCGATTTTTACTTTACGTTATTCCTGCATCTAGCCCCTCCTACAGATTATTATTGCAATCGATAGTTCGTCAATTGTTCTTCATTGTTCGTCCAATTTTAATGTGTGTTGCTCAGCCAAACATTCATAATTAATTTTTTGCATTTCACAATTCCTGCATTTAAGAATTTGATTATTTTCGTTGGTTAACTGTGATAAATCGTTTGTACATCGTTTGTTCATCCCTAAAATCGACTAAAATCGAGCAAAAGCCTTCAATAAATTCATCATTTAATGATGTTCCCTTAATTATTTAAACAATCGCAGCACCGTAGCACGTTGTGTCATTATCAGCAGTTGCAGCGGGATTTTCGGGACTATTTTGGGATTTTTAGGATTTCCTGTATTTTCGGAAATATTTCAAGAGTTTCGCGACTATTTCGCTATTTTCGGGACTACTTGGGGATTTTCGAGACTACTTCGACATTTTGCGGACTCTCGGGACTATATTGGTATTTTCGGAATTATTTTAGGCGTCGATTTACGGATTTCGAAATTTTTAAGATTTTCTGGATTCTCTGAACTATATCGAGATTTTTGACACCATTATTCTGGTGTGCATTCCTTGGACCTTGCATTTGAAATTTCAGATAAAAATTATACAAATATTTAACGTAAGGCAATTTATCAGAATTAAGTTAAAATGTGCAATTACAAAATATCTGGTTGTGTATACCATGAACGAAAGACACAAGATCACGTAACAAAAAGAGAGTGAAAAAGGTCGAAGTCTTGAGAGGGTTGTACGCCATCTTGTTTCAGTGGAAAATTAGCGAAAAGTAAACAAATCGAAGAAAACAACGAAAACCAAAATTAGCCAAAATTATTGGCAGCCACTTTAAACGCACAATTTAGGTAAAATTATGCATTAAAATGCTTTAAAATGTCATGTTGAATTAATTCTTCTTTACTTTAAAGGTGTAAAATAGTGGTGCTTGTGATGTAAACAAACGCTCAGCTGACGAACCCGCTTAAGCTAACTTTTCTCTCAAAACCAGTTACAAATACGTTGCGTTTTTACGTGATCTTGTATTTTTGGTTAATGGTGTATACATTCATTTGTCAGTGCTACGAAACCGTACTGGCAAAGTATCAGTGACACAAACCAAACAGAGCGGATCACAAATTAGACCAGTTCCTCGTTTCTGTAACCATTCTCTAGTAGAGATTGACGTATATTCTCTACCAGTAGAGAAGAGTTACAGAAACAGGCTACAGATCTCTATCAGGATCATATCGTTATTGTTGGATTTGCGTGAACAATTTTTTATCCGGATCCCGATCATTGCCAAAGAAAATACAGCTATAGACATCTTATTCTTAAGTTGAGAGAGAACAGAGGTATCCATATGAAGAGAAAAATTTTACTCGGCAATATAAAGAAATATGAGTACTTTTATAAGTTCACCCTGTGTCCGCTGCAGGAATGCCGATTTATCCAGCCGGGAAGTCGTGGGTTCGAATCCCACTCTCAGGAAATTTTTTTTCATCTTATTTTTGTTCTTTTAAATATTATTTAAATTTTTGTATTATGTAATTATAGTCGTTGTGACTTTTTAATCCAAAAAATTGGATTAATCTGAAATAATTACGTGAAATACCATAAAAAATAATGAAATTAAAAAAAAAAATTAAACAACATTTATATTAAAACAAAATATAAAAATCAAAAAATATTGTTTGGGATCACTCGGAGGGGGGAACGAACCTGGGTTCTACTGCGTATACTACTTCAACCGCAAAACAAAAGATATAAACTTATTTATATGGTGAATAAAATTTGCAAGTAAGTACATTTTCGGAAACTTTTGTGATATTTTCAGTTTTTTTGTTTTATAAAATTTGTAATTCTTTTTTTATAACATTTTTTATTTTTTTTTTAAAAAGCATTTTCCCCATGAACTTTACAGAAAAAATAAAACATATATAAAAAAAATGTATATATATTTAGTACCATTCAAACGACATCAAAATGTTTTAAATTAATTAAGTCGTTTATTAGTTGTCCCAATGTAAAGAAATTTAAAAATTGATACTTTGACAACATCATTATTTATTATTTCCCGAATAAAAAATTATACCGTTCTGATCAGGACTAAGAACTCTATTGAATCTAATATAAATTTCTTTAATCAGAAAAATGTACGTATTCTGCCCTTATACCAACCAAAGAACGTAAATGTATAAGAAGCGACAACTCGTTACTTTGAAAATGTGCCGCGACGCTTTTGACCGTATCTGAAAGGTTGAGATGAGGAGTTCGTCTCCCTTTTAACTCTGTCCGCGGCAGATTTTTGATTTTCGCCTCGAATGCGGAAAATGCCAGCAAAACAGAAGAAAAGCGGCAAATGTGTGTGAATTTCTTTGGTTATTTCCACAAGTGATTGAAAAAATGTAATTTAATTTAGAAAATATATAAATTATGGTGTGAAATATAGAATATTCAGTGCTTGTGTAAAATACGGAGGTGCTTGTATGTGAAAGTGTCCATATTAATAACATAAAGTGTTTGTGAGTGCAAAGTGTTCGTCAACAAGTGCCGATTGTCGGTGTATGTGGATAAAAATGATCATTATTTTAAACAAAATCAGTGTACTTTTATATAAAAATGCATTAGTTTAATAAGAAATCTATGCATTTATATATGAGTGTACTTATGTTTTGTTTTCATCTGGAAATTTACATATTTAAAGTGTGCAAAAAAAGTTATGTGTCGGGCGATTTGGTGGATAAAGTGTGTATATGGCGGCTTTATTAGCAAAACCAATGTTTATTATAAAGGGATGGCATAAGTTTAATTTAAATCTATGCATTTATACATGAGTATGCATACATTTTGTTATTATCGGGCAAGAATAAATAGTTTCCAATTTTTTGTTTATATGCATGCAAAAAATAAACGCATAAATGTGAAACAGAAGTTGTCTCCGTCTTTCTTACATCCTCCGCCAAAACAAACGCGTAAATGTGACACATAAGTTGTCTCCGTCTCTCACACGTCCTCCGCCATCTTTATCTTGACAAATTCTTAAATTCCTGCAAAATGCCGCGTCCTGACATATTTACGCGCATACATATGTACGCTTACAGTAGGCTACTCCTAACTTGAATTCTTGTAGCTCTAATCTGCTTGTTACCGGATATTTTGTAACCAGCAAATTTTGTTAACAAACATTGTTACCACTTCTTGTAACCGCAATTATAGGTACCGTGGCAACGTTTTAATTTATTCAGCATTCCAGGTGTGAAGTTTTGTAGAAATTCTGTTGTTGCATATATCATGGGGCAATATTTTGTTACCTGCTTATGAGAGGGTAACAAATTTTACTGGTTACAAAAGTGCGCAGAATGCGAAAAGGGTTTAACCAAAGAGATGAGCTTTATTATCCGTTAAAAAAATCTGATTACTAACGCAGAATAGGTTAATGTACGATTTTGTGTTTGAATCTTTTCGTGATAGTAAACAATATTTGTGTTACCAACGCAGAATAGGTCTGTATGTATACACTCACTTATACATGCTTCAGAGCTTTGCAATTATCAATAATGCAAAATAATTTAATTTTTTTGAATACGTAAACATGTTGCTCGTAGTATCTAGAGTCAACTGTAAACAAATCGTAAGCGATCGGTTTACAAAAATTTTAAAATTGATGACCGAAGCTGGTGACGGCAACCATGTTGCCAAGTTACATTTGTTGTAAAACCACTTATGTATGTGATTTTAGAAGTTTTGAGTTTACATCAAAATATCATGGGCCATTTGTGCAAAAAATTTATGTTTATTTTGTTTTTTATTAAAATAAAATCTTAAGCAACTAATTAATAGTTTAAAAGTTAGAAGGAGCACTGTGATTTAGAAGTTTAGAGAAATAATGGCTAAGCTCGAGATAAGTTATTTTTGCAAATGTCCTCAGATTTTACAGCGGAGTTGCAACTTTTCATTTGACTGGCTGTGATTTCTTCAATTTTACATTTTAGAATTTTTGTGGCTCTCGTGCAGAAGTTGCACTTGTAGGCGATGCGCTTGCGGGGAGATGTGTGGTATTTGAATTTATGAATGAATGAGTTTGACCTTGAAGAATATGCGCATGCGTTTATGAATGAAATTGTTATTGTTGTGTTTTAGTCGCATATGCGCTTTTAGATACATATGTAGGTACGTACGCGTATTTGCATGAATGTGATATGTTTGGAGGCAAATCGCATGAGTATATTAAATAAATTTATTGATTATAAATGTACATTTGGTTGACATAAAAAGGGTAATTTCATCCATAAGTTACAACTTTACAACTTCCATACTAAAGAGGAAGTTTATAAAGGTCTTGCATAGCGCATGTATTTAATTTACTTATATTTGTTTAAAATTATAAAATAAAGTAAATCTATGCACATGCGCATGCAAATTGTTAATGCCGTCAGCAAATAAACAAAAAGAGCTGCGGCCATGTTTTTTCTCATTTCATTTTATTATTTCTATCATCGGTCTCTTTTTCTTAACGTTCTTTATCGCCGCGAAACCATATGTGCGGCGAA